TGTAACGATCTGTAAATATGCTAATCATTACAGTTTCTTTGGATTACACAACTCCAAAATTTCTATTTTCGGAGTTCTGCACAGATTTTAAATCAGTGTAACCAAAAAATCAGCAATGATCAGCATATTTACTGATCGTTACTGATCTGATATCTATCAAATTTATCGATGTATTATAAATTAGAGTTTATTAAATACTGTGATAAGTTGGATACAAAAAAAAATACCAAAAGATACAAATCTGTATCAAATTTCTTTCATTATTTATTGTAAATAGCTATACAATCACATTGAAACTGATTATTGAACAAAACAGAAGTTTTTTGAATTACAAATTCAATTTTCACCAATTCAACAAATATATTAACTAATATAGTAATACAAAATTCAAAATTTTTTATGGCTCACTTTGCTAAACCAAGAATATTTCGCAATTGTTCAACATCAACCCAAAATTGATGATTATTAATAAGTTCCTTGACAGCATTAGCCTGACTAAAAACTTGAAAATCTTGTTCTAATATCTATTAGAAGCAAATTCAATAAGTATTGATCATGTATCAAAATGTGATCACATAGTAAAGTACGATTATTTAGTGAAGTACAATTGTATAGCAAAATACAATTACATAATAATTTATGATCATATAGCAAAATATGATTATATAGTAAAGTATGGTTATGTGATTTTCACCATGATCCATTTTCATCATGATCCCCCACATTAATTAAATTGATTTAACCGAAGTTAAATCGATTCAATCAGTTCGATTGAGAACTGACGCTGAACCGGTTTATCTGTAATCAATAACAATCGCCGATATGTAGATGAGTGATGATTAAAAATTTTTATTTATTATTTGTTTGTATATAAACTGCAAATTGCATTGCATAATTTGATTTATATGGTAAAATTTGTTATAACGTTAACTTATACTTAGGCACTAACACATATTAGCTAATATTATTTTCCCTAGATAAGATCTTTTAACCAATTAACTTAATAAGTTGACGTTAAAAATTTGTCGGATCATGTGATTCCGACCTAAACCGACCTGGCACAACATTCTATGTTATAAAAACACTGTTAGTTCCCTATCTAGAGCTTGTTCTAGATCGTGCAGTTCTCATAACATTGTTTGCTTGGTAATAGAAATCTCATTTTTTTTTCATGAAATTACTGTTAGATTGCAAAAGATCGGGTCGGAATCAAATGACCCGGCACTTTATCGTTATTGGTTAAAATATTATTTCGGCATTTTATACAGTTGCACAAGTTGCACATAATTACAACTCAATTACATCTTTTTTCTTTTTCAAATAAAACAAATAAAACGCAAAAACAAACCTCTTATTGGGAAAAGTACATCGACAAACTAAATCTTAAGATGTATAAATTATTACAAATATAGACAGAGGATTTTCAGAAGAGGCTAGACTTGGTGCGCTCAAGTTTAATATCTTACGATGTATGGAAGAAAAGGGTAGCTGAGGAGGGGTAAAACTCGCACAACTACTGTGGGCTTCTGCCCGTAGCTCACTTTATGGTCGAGTATAGGACTGACTGTTGTCTGCCTCACATCAATTAATTCTATAAACAATACACAGTTTATTCATCATATCGTATTCGATTTGGCGACGTTGATTCAATTTAGAGTGTGGAAAAGAAAAATAATCTGAAAAGTCAATATTTCGGCGTCAGTCAAAATGAGTTTCAGCAAGCAACCTTAATTGTGGCATTCAAAGATTTTGAACCCCGCAATTCCCTTGTGGCATATTCACTTTGTTGCAGCATACTCCATTTATGATCGATTATCTCGATTGATTTTTAATTTATGAAGTCTATTTTGGGCTTTAATTTTTAGTGCATTTTAAATTCAATAATGAAATGAAACCCGAAAATAAGCAATAAAAATGTCAAATGACCTTTATATTGCATTTCAAAAAAGTATTTCACAACAATTATATATAGTAATTAATAATATAATACAATTAATTATAAATTAAATAAATAAAAGCAAATAATTTACAATTCAAACAACTTCATCCATCTTTTCAATAAATTTGCTCTGCCCAGTTACATTAGCAGAATCATGCGGCAACGGAAAGATATTAACAACGCTCTTCTTGAACGCTTCTAGTAATGATTGCGAACGGGACTTATTTTGCGGGGCTTTACCAATTCCACTGGTCATTGATGAGTCAGTATCAGACCACGAACTTTCGGGAATATAGTAATGTGGATTGGTGCATCGTAGACGACGTCTGGCCGCAATCAGAATTACAATCACAATTAGAAGACTGCTTGCAATTATTAATCCGATTTTTATATCATTTGATTTGTTTTTGGGTGGTGTAGGGGGAACTGCGTATCCTTTCTGATCTTCAGGCATGGTTGTGTTTGTGGGTAGAATAGTTGAGTTTGATGATGATTGTGAAGGATGATCTGCATTTGGTGTCTGATTTAATGAAGCACTCAAACTGGAACTATTCTCGTTCCCGTTAGAACTTTTATTGTTATCAGAACCATTTTTATTATCGTTATTACTTGAACCGCTCCCACTACTATTTGATCCACCGGTATTACTTTTTGATCCACCGGAACTACTATTTGATCCACTGGAATTACTATTTGATCCACTGGAATTACTATTTGATCCACCGGAACTACTATTTGATCCACCGGAATTACTATTTGATCCACCGGAATTACTATTTGATCCACTGGAATTACTATTTGATCCACTGGAATTACTATTTGATCCACCGGAATTACTATTTTTAGAATCGCTCCCATTATTACCGGAGCTGCTTCCATTATTAGACTTACTGTCATTAGACTCATCGTTCTTTTGACCATTACTTCCATTATTTTTGTCATCATTTCCATTTTTTCTGCCGTCGTTTCCATCATTATTGTTGTTGCCATTTTTGTTTCCATTGTTTCTATTATTGTTGTCATTATCTTTGCTATCGCGTGGCGCGAGACCACGAATGCCAATATGAACAGGATTTGACGATGGTGATGATGATGAAGAGATGGAAGGCGAGTCAATAATTACATTATTATTATTAAATTTATTGGAATTGTTCGTGTTTGAAGTTGTTATGGATTTGTTAATGTTATTATTAAAGTCACTAATATTATTATTATGAATAATGATTCCTTGTGAATTGCGCGCTGTTGCCGAGGCTCTCGATTCAGTCGAGCCATTGTATTCCAGAAATGATGGTTTGTTGTTGTCGTCGAGATTAATGTTTGGATTCGATTTTATTACTATAAATCGGTATAATAAAATAAAACGTTAATTTGATAATTTTTGAATTTGCGTGAATATAAAGAAAATAAAATTACATTTAAATCCAAATTTTCGGCTTATTTGGTCTTTCTTTGTTTGGTCGCGATGATGGTATTGTTGTTGTTTCAACAGACCAGCCTTCTTATTATGAGAATTCCTTTTATTATTATTTATACTATAACCATTTTGAAATCCTTTGATTTTGATTGATATTTGTTAAAAGATGGATATAAAATTCAAACGCAAGCTTTATCTTACCAAAAGCGTTATTGACCACCAGCAAGATAATCAAACCAAAAATACAAAGACCAAAAGGTCTCATCCGTTGATGTGTAATTTTATTCACAGAAGGAATAGTGAAAGAGAGGAGAAAGGGAGAAAGGGAGAAAGAAGAGAAAGTGGGAAAGGGAAAAGGGAGAAAGGGAAAAAGGAGAGAAGGTGAGAAAGTGAGGAAGTGAGGAAGGAGAGAAGGTGAGAAAGTGAGGAAGTGAGGAAGTGAGGAAGGAGAGAAATGGAGAAAGAAAAAAAGCGATAATTTGATGGTTGAGATCTATGTTGAATTTATTATTATTGTTTTTTGCTCGTTTATTTATCTACTTCATTCACACTATTTCTACCCGAGAAAAAGTCGAAATAGATTCCTTGGTGTATTCTATTTATGATTCTCATTTAAGAACGAAAGACATTGAAGCAAGAAATCGTCTAGCGAGTAAGTGAAAAATAGCGAAAATATAATAGAAAAAACAAAAAATACAGGAAAAGAGGGATGATAATAAATAATAATAACGCGTAAATAGTGGAAGAGAAGGTAAGAGAATAGAAAAGGAAAGGAAAGGGTAAAGGAAATGGTAAGAAAAAAGGAAAGAAACTGTAAAAGAAATCGAAATAAATAGATAAAAAAATTTTCTATATCGATATCGGTTTTGTAGTTCGTTGTTCGTGTTTGTGATGCATAGCGTATTCACAAATTCACAAATTCATTTAAAAACAATTAATCAATGACAACAAAAAATATTTAATTCAATAAATTAATTTAAAATACTACAGACACATGCATTCACGTTACATTATATTTAGACGCTCCAATCATTTCTCGACCCAAATAAAATGTCCAGTTCATCTTCCTCCGCGAAAGCCAAAATTAGATACACGACATATACCCAAAGATACATTCGTGTCTCTGAAAAACATATACTACCACTAATTATTTATCTTCGTCCAGAAAACACCAATTGGTTTAATGATGGAATGTTTCAGGTATAATATAATAAATTAAAACAATTTAAAAACCGTAAAATACACTCATCATGTCAATGGATCTTTGATTAAACTAAGGAACTAATAGAGAAGTTGAATAAATTTCTACCGCAAAAAATCGATTCTATGAGAAAGAGAAAATCAAACGAATCGAAAGACAAACAAGAGGAACAGCAAATTAGTGCAGATATTTTTCGTGGTGGCAAGTTCTTTTTTTTCTGAGATCATTTTAAACTAATCAAAGGCTCACAAATTTCTGTCTCTTTGTCTTGTTCGATATAGAGAAGTTTCATTGTGCCTATTATTTCCGACCAACTGATATACGACATTCTGTTTTGATCAAGGTAAAAAGAGAGTATATGTTATCATCACACAATCATTTCATAATAAAATTAGCATCCCAAAATATCAATTATACGCTTGCATCAGGATAAAAGATACATGCTCCCTTCTTCGAGAAAATCAAAAAGCAAAGAACTAGAAGAAGTCAAACCCGACTTTCAAGTGAACTATAATGGATTTAGTATCTTTATTAAGACACTAGTTGTGGTGGTAGAACCTATTGGTGAAACTTTTGAATTCATTGACAATGTCAAAGCGAAATATGTAGATTCACTTGAATCATATTTTTTTAGTTAATTAGAAATCACATTAAAAGTATCCTTTTTAGTAATTAAATTATTTCAATAACAATACATGAGATGTTTTATAAATAACCATGCATGTCGTTACACGAGATGTTTTATAAATAGAGTTGTATTAATATTTACCGGAAAATTGATTTCATAAAACTTGTGGTCATAACATTAATCCAATGAAACACGAAATACAAAAAGAAATATCGATATAATTTAGGTAACCAATCTATCAGAAGGCTAACATCATTGTTCACATACACTTATCAACGTTTGATTTATTAATATTTATATACTTGATAATCTGGAAAATAAACTGATTACAGTAGCAATCAAAAATAATGCAACGGCAAAAAAAAATTATTAATAAAACGGTAAAAATACGAAAAATGCGAGTTTTTCTCTTTATATCTAAGTTTTTAATTTTACTAATAAATATTTTTTATTTTTATATCAAAATGAAAATAATAAATATCACATATCTTAATTAACATATATTTTTTTCAGATTTTTTAGATTTAATTTCCTTTAATTGCATATAAACTCAATAATTTTTCTATAATTAAAACATATAGTATAAAAAATTATTGATTTTATTTGCAATTAAATCTAAAAATATATATTAAGATATGATATTATCTTCATTTTGATATAAAAATAAAAAATATTTATTAGTAAAATTAAAAACTTAGATATAAAGAGAAAAACTCACATTTTTCATATTTTTATTATTTTATTAATAATTTGTTTGCTGCTATATTATTTTTTAATTGTTATTAATACTAGCATTTTATAAAAAATAAATAATAAATCAGAATTACTTAATAAATTGAAAATTTTAATTTGAATATGATTTTTTATAAATATTATTGAAACAATAATTAGATATTCAATTAAAATTTAATTTTAAGAATTGATTTATTAGATTAATTTTACTTTGTGTTTTTATAATTTCAGTACTTTCTAACTTAATATTTTTATAATTTTCAATTTTAGAATTCAATTAATTATTATATATGTATATATATATAATTTTTGATTGTATTATTATAATATATTTTATTGGACAATATTATATTATATTTTTATTGATTAATTTTTTATTTATTATTTTATTGATTTATATTTATTTGTATTTTTATTGTACATTTATTATATTAATTAATTTAATTACTATTATTATTATGATATGAATATTTAGTTATTATTTTATTTTTATTGGTTAATTCATATTATAAATTTAATTGGATAATATTTTAATATTATATTATTGAATAATCATATTAATAATTAGTGTTTGAAATTCAATTAGAAATTCAATTTGAATTTCAATTTGAATTTCTATTTGAATTTCAATTCAATTTCAGTTCAAATTTTGATTCAAATTTTGATTCAAATTTCAATTCAAAATTCAATTCAATCTATAATTTTATTGAACAAATAGTTTTTATAATTTATCTATAAAATTAGCATATATTTTAGTTAGTAAAATTCAATTTAATTAATTAATAAATAAATCAATTAATCAATTAATCAATCAAGAATAATCAATAACAATTAAAAACATATAATAAATCAATAATAAATTCATCCATTAATAAAATTATATATATTTATTATTATATTATAATCTTATAATAAAACTACATATTTATTATATAATATTTCTTAATAAAATACTTTCAATATAAATTTCAGATATTATTCTAACAGATTATATTGTTACTGGTGTTACAATTCAAATATTCTATAACATAGTTATTTTAATATTAGTTAATAACTTTTATTATATTTAGCATTTTTAATAATTAAATTTATTTAATTTAATTATTTATTATTTAATTAT